CGCCGTGGGCCCGGTTCCCACGCTCCGAGCCCGGCAGGGGTCACAGAGAAGCGAAGGGCGCGGCGGATCTCCAGCCCGCTGGGAGGCTGAGGCAGGAGGATCACAAGTTCGATCGAGCCCAGCCGTAGTGATTTGGTGACTTACTGAGACCGTCTTTAAAAGGGCTGGGGAGGTAGCTCGGTGTGCGGGTCCTGGGTTCAGTCCCCAGTGCCTTTAAAAAACGTTCTGCACGTAGACCGCAGGCTTCCTGCGTGTAACTGAGCTGTGGTTTCCCAGCCTGCGTCGCGCAGAGAGGAGCTGCAGCCCGGGGTTCCCCTCATGTCAGGGAGGGCGGCTCCACCGTCCTCTCAGCGCCCCGTTCTGGGCTGCCCGGGTCGGGCCTTTCCTTGACCGTGAGCTCTGTAAGTTCTGTAGCCGCCAAGTCCTGTCCTGCCTGTTATCTGGTTCCCCTCTCCCTCTGGGGAAAAACCAGTTTCACCTCCTCTGCATGTGGACGTCAGTTTTCTTGCTGGCCGCCCTTTGAGCTGGGCTTAATGCCCACCTGGCTCCCTGCTTTAAAATTGTGTTTTTGTGGCCTGGCGTGGTGGCGCACACCTGCACTCGGGAGGCTGAGGCAGGAGGATCACCATGAGTTCGAGACCAGCCTGGCTACATAGTGAGTTCCAGGTCAGCCTCGACTACGTAGTGAGACCCTGTCTCAAAATCAAAACAAAACAAAAAAATGTGTGTTTGCTTTTCAGATCAGTAAAATAGTTTATTGCATTGTTTTTACTTTGTAGTTTTTTTCTAGGTAGATCAGGTTGTCCCTGAACTCACTACGTAGCCCAGGCTGGCGGTGACTCACAGTGATCCTGCTGTCTCAGACTCCTGGGTGCTGGGATCGCAGAGGTGGGCCTGGGCCAGGCCCGGCTCGGGAAGGGTGTTTGTGCTGGGGAGTGGCAGGGTGGGGAGCTCTCCTGGATCCAGGGCTTCTGGGTCAGGGTGACACTTGGGGCAGGGTGCTCGGGAGCCTGTGCTCTGTCCAGGGTCCCCTCACTCCCAGGGGGTGCGGGAGCCCAGCAGAGCGGCTTCCGGCTCCGGATGGAGCGGGTCCTGCACCTTCACCCCATGCCTCCTGGACAGGACGGGGCCCCCACTGTCCCTACCCCTAACCCTGAGAGGACAGAATCATTGTGCCATCACATTTACAGCGTCTGCGTTCACTCGGTGAGGTTTCCAGTGCTGGATTCCCGACAGAGCAGGACACTGGTGGAGAGGCTGTGGAGGTGACACCAAGCCCAGAGAGGGAGAGCTGATCCTGGCCAATGTCCTAAGTACATCCGAAGTTATTCCTGAATAATACATGTTTATTATTTAACAAAGTAGTGG